TGCAGAAAGAGAGATTGAGGGCTCTGTGTTCTCAATCCCTTTTTCTATTTTAAAAGTGGAATATCAGGGGTCTGTTTACCTGAGATGTGGAGAAAGAGACTCACACCTCTGGAGCCCCAGGTGAGGAAGCGTCATCCTGCTCGGAGCTATCTGGAGAAAGTGTGACAGGAGGAAATTATGTTTCCATGGGGGTATTGAAAGATTTGCCTACCAAAAAGACTGTAGAAATGATGTTTACTAGATTGGAGAACTCAATTAAAAGCGAGCTATCTAAAGTCAGAGAAGATATCTCACACATGCTAATAAGAGTGGAGGACATAGAAGCCCGTCTTGACCACCACACTACAGCCATTAAGGAGTTGCAGGAGAGTAATAATGCTCTACAAACTAACCTGCGCGCTATGGCGTACCGTATAGAGGATCAAGAAAATTGTGGGTGTAGAAATAATGTCCGAGTCCGAGGGATCCCAGAATCTAAAGGAGATAGCGAGCTGGCAACAACATTACAGACTATCTTTAATAAGATACTGGGGAAAGATCCCATAGCAACCCTGGTGTTGGATCGAGTCCATCAGGTATATCATATATGAGAGCTAACAGCACTGACATATCACGAGATATCATATGCCGCTTTCATTATTATGAAGAGAAGGAAGAACTGATTAAAAGATTGTGGAACTCTGAACCAATTATATATGAGGGGAACCCTATAAAAATTTTCCCTGATTTGGCACGAGACACTTTGCAAAGGAGAAGAATATTGCACCCTATATTGGAGGCCTTGCGCGCCAATTCTATTCCATACCGCTGGGGGTTCCCATCATGTCTGATAGCCCGCAAAAATGGGAAATCAGGAATTTTAAGGTTCCCTGAAGATATGGACAGATTTTGCTCTATGCTAGAGGTGCAGAAGCCAGATATACCAGATTGGAAGGAGGACATTCCGGTGCTCTCACCCCTGAAGGAGTATGGATGGAATCAGGTGGAGGGAGGGAAAAAAACATAAGCCTGTATAAATTAGTCTAAATGTAGCTAGAAGGACATGTTTCCCACTCCCTCCGTAATACTTAGTACTGCTGCTAAAAACTATAAGGGATTATAATATCATGGTTGCTCACCCGATTATTGTGTGACATTAGATATATCTTATTTGTCTCTTTTTTATAAGCATATGTAGGTATTCGCAGTTGTTTGTTTTTCTCTTGTTTTTCTTTTTTTTGGTGTTTTTTTCCCCCTCCTCTTAGGGAGGGGGCCCATCCCACGGGAGCTTTTAAGATCTAGATAAAGTCCTGTCCATGTTGACTATGTTTAGTTGGTTTTGTGTGTCATGGGTTTTGAATGTCATGGGAGGAGACTTTATGCCATTCTCCACCCCACCCCCCTTTTCTCCATTTTTATTCCCTGCCCCACTCCCTCCTCCCCTCCCTTTTTCTTTTTTTATCTTTTCCTCTTTCCCTTCCCTACGCCCCCAGGCCGGTAGTGATATATTGGAGGGATATGTTTCATTAGCCTCAATCCAATGGCATCTATAAAATTTGGGACATATAATGTGAAAGGGCTCAACTCTCCAGTGAAGCGACATTCTATACTCAGAGAACTAAAACGGGAATCGGTCCAAGTGGCCTTCCTTCAAGAGACACATCTAATAGTGGACTCTAAGAATGGATTGGATACGTATAACTTTCCTCAGTGGTTTCATAGTTACTCGGATAGTAAACTTTCTCGGGGAGTGGCTATTGGATTGAGTAGAGGGATACATTTTATGCTCAAGGACTTTATCTCTGATAAAGAAGGTAGATTCCTCTTCGTTAAGGGGCTAATTGATAATAAATGTGTTACCTTAGCCTCAGTGTACGCCCCCAATCAAAATCAGGGTACATTTCTAGAACAATTAATTACCTCCCTTTTGGATTTTCAGGAGGGTTCATTAATATTGGCAGAAGCGCACCCATTAACGAAGAGTCGTTAACCCAGGGTCCGCAGCCTCCTCCAGTACTCAGACAATTACACAGGCAATTGGCTACCTGTGCATCTTTGACTGATAAGAACAGATACTACACTTGATCTTAGCCAAAAGGCCGAGAAGCGATGCAACTGTGCCTTTTAAACAACTTAGCAAAATAAAAAGAAATCTACACAAAGCCCAATTAGTAGATTGGCACATATTACAGTGATCCCAAAAATGGGAAAGGACCCTACGAACCCGGCCAGCTATAGACCTATATCTCTTTTGAATAATGACATCAAGCTGTATGCAAAGATATTGGCGTTTAGACTGCAGCAATATCTCCCGCAATTAATAGATTCGGACCAATCAGGTTTTATCCCGGGTAGAGAAACTCGAGACGGGGTCCTGCGTACAATCTCTATAATCCACTCTGTACGAAGAGGGACGCACAATTCATTGTTGCTCTCCACGGATGCCGAAAAAGCTTTCGACAGAGTGGATTGGAATTATTTGTTCAGTACTTTGGAGCATTTTGGGCTGGGGCAAAGAATGATATACAGAATCCAGGCACTGTATTATGACCCGAGGGCACAGATAAAGATTAACGGTTCTTTGTCTCAACCCTTTCTATTCTGACACGGAGCTGTGTCAGAATAGAAAAAAAAGAATTTGCCCATAGGAATGCATTGCTAGATTCCTATTTTCTATTTCAATTTGCAATAGCCAATAGTAAACTAGCATTGCACCCGCCCTCTGCTGATGGACCTGATGGAGAACTGCAGCAGAGGGTGGATGCAATGCTAGTTTACTATTGGCTATTGCAAATTGAAATATCCAATAGGAGTCTAGCAATGCATTCCTATGGCAAAAAAAAATTTTTCTACCCGCTCCTGGCCGCCCAGGAGAGTTTGCTGTCTGGAGATGAGTGTCCCTGGTTAGCTGGTAACCAGGGACGCTGATCTCTCTGCAAGTGACCGAAGCCAGCCGTAAGATCACGGCTGGCTACGCCCAGCTGTCAGAAGCAGGCTGTCGGCCGGCCAACCAGCTTCGGCTTCAGCTCGGCTACGTTCGGGAGCTGTACGGGCTATTCACATTCTACTGAACCGAAGGGGTCCTGGGGCCAAAGCTAGCCGAAGGATCGGCCGAAGCTACGGCTAGATCCTTCGGCTGCTTCGTGAATAGACCCCAATGTTAGGGTAGACTGTGAAACCTAAATGATATAATGTATGGAACTGAGACATCCACACACAAAAAATGCTCTGGGAATTTAGAGAGGGAATTTAGAAAAGCCTGAGGACTCAAGTGGTTAAAGATCTGACTCAAAGTCAGCTAAAGTAGCACATTTCTTTGTCACTGACACTGCCAGAAATGCATAGTCTTGTGGCTGCAATCTATCTCTGTCATGTAGGTTTCCAAACAATGCTCCACCTCTTAACGATACCTGTGTAGTAATTGGCATTGGGGGCAGTGACCAGCTTATTATGACAGTTAAATGTCATACTTTTATTTTAACTTCATACTTTATACAGGGTATACAAACTTATAGAAAGTTTCAGAAAATAAATTGCATTAGATTGATTTGAAAAGCATAGCAATTTCATACATAGATGCTTCCTAAAATAAGAAGTAAAAAAACAGAACACCTGGGCAGATTTTGACACCTCATCAAAAACCGTCAGGTGGCTGTACAAAAACTATCCGATTCAGCATACTGTGTTACTATTAAACATAATTGATATTATATGTAGGTCAAGTGAGAGAGGTTGAATAATGCCTCTGAGCCAGCATGATTAGAAAAATGAACTTTCCTACTGTTGCGATCATTAAACAAAATCTTTAATACAAGTCATTAGCAAAACAATCAGAATTACTAATTCAGTATTCATTTAATGACTTTGATCAAAATACAGACTATATTCTAAAAAGATAAGAAACTCATTATCTTTGTGGAATATGCAAATCCAAGCCCAAAGAACAAAACTGTTTTAACTATGCTCACAAAGACACACTAGATGTAGAACGATTATGTGACTTATGCTAAAATAGCTGGTGTTAGGAACTAGGGATTCTATGGCCATTGTAGATAATGCTACAAGTGCATCTGCTGGTGGGCCTGACCTGGCCAAACATATAATTTGTCCCGAATCCACATACATCTTATACACCTATAGACAACAATGTGTCTTTCCACATATGCTACACTCTGCATATATCTTTATCATGTAACATTTAAGAAATTAGAAAAATGCATACCTTTTAGATTGCAAGCCCTCAGGGGCAGGGCCCTCCTTACCATCTTGTCTTTAATTGTATTGTGATTGTAATGTCTGCCCTATATTGTAAAGCGCTGCGCAAACTGTTGGCGCTATATAAATCCTGTATAATAATACATCTTTATCTACACATGTAGCATTTAAGAAATGACAAAAATACTCTGAGTTAATTCACTTAAGCAGTTCCATGCAAACTGAATGTAAATACATAATATTTTGACTACCTGATCATTTGCACGAGAAATAAAATTAAAAAAAGACGGATTCTTCCTTGCATATAATTATGATTGATGTGAACAAAGCTTTACCTTTTCACTAAGCTCAATACACATATTTTACCTTATTATATTATACTAAGCTTAATAAACATGCTTTACCTTATTCACTACATTCAGTAAACATGCTTTACCTTATTCACTAAACTCAGTAAACATTTGTTTGTAAAACATTCATTTTTCTAAGTGAACAGTCTCTTCTCTTTTGGTAGACAGATCGCAATGGACATGATTTACTAAAGGATTAGAGACTGTTCATTTAGCAAAGTGAAAGTTCACATAGCTTAGTTAAAAAGCTGAAACAATTTTTACTTTAATCAACTAATTACATGTGAGAAAAAAATCATATTTTTCCCCCCTCCCACATGATTAAGTGTTCAAAGAGAACACAGATTCAACTTATTTACTAAAACGCACTTTGCTAAGAGAAAAGCCTCTTCTGATTTACTAGATCAACTCCTGCAGATTTGCTACTGTGTTTAAGATGCAATATTAAAAACTTACCAAGAAATGATGCCAAAGGTCTGGGAGGTTAAATATTGATTGCCGCTCTGAAGATTTCCCTGAAAAATATAAATAAGGCACATTATATAATTAAGTCCATGTATAGGCATATAAATACTTTTGACATCCTAGCATGTGTAAACAGATTATAAACGATAGCCCAATGTATTTATTTCCGTGTTAAAAATGATCTGAAATGCACAGGTAACTATAGGATGCATTTTGTAGACTGGAACAAATGATTGCTGAAAAGGAAAGCAGTTAAAATTCAAAAAAACATGACAATTCACAGAAAAAGTATAATACATTAAGAGACACAGCATTACATTGCCTCTGACATGCCTCTTTGGTTGTAAATGAAGCACTGACTTAAGTTACTTCACCATCCTGTCACTGCTTTCTTGAAGCTAATTAAAGAAAATAATGTAGCAAATTTTCTGTTTAAAAGCTTTTTTTCTGGATAGGACTACTTTTCCACTGAGAAACTAGTGCATTTAACAAGATTGTAAGTGTTTATTTTTTGCTTGTGAGTTCTAGCTTTTGAGCAGGTAAACTCAGAATAATTATATTTGATGTAAACACCACACAATCATTTTTAGAGGATGTAATCACATTTTCATCATGAAGTGAATATTAGCTAATAAACAGTTTTAGACAATAGAGAAATCTATACAGAAATGTTATTTCAACACTTATTAGTAATATTAGTAGATATTTAAAATTCACTGTACTGCTCTAAAACACTAAAAAGTAGCAAAGGAGTGCTAATGCAGGCACCCAGATGTATAGACCTTTCACAGTTTTGCTGAGACCCAGAGCTTGAATTACTCTATTATTCAAATACTAACTCCAACTTGGAAGTTTGTACTTTGGGTCAACCATTCAGTATTGGTACCTCCAAGAAATGAATTCCCTCACAAGTCAAAAAATGTAATCACAACTACTCATATAACTGGCGTTTGCTCACCACTTAAAAAGACTTCTCTTTTGTTGCATACAAACAATCACAATACATGTGCGGGTTGTATTGAGTATAAAGTAACAATTGCTAAAACAGCTTATGATGTTAGTGAAAAAGACAACCAAAAAGATTGTAGTGTAGAAGAGAAACAAACCGCCAAACATAGAGGCTATAAAATAAATGACTTCTTATGCCTAGGTCATGTATTTTATGCTGATAGATTATGTCCACCTGAAACATGGGTTAAATGCACATTGCATTAATGTGCTTTTTATCAAGTGGGAATACATTGCATTTTTAAAGATGCCGTTTGAAGTTTTAAATGGCAAATTGCAAATCAAGGCACCCAAAGTGCAGGAATTCCTGCAGCTTTTTACTGCTGGAACTTATTATAAAACACTACAACACAATCAATTGGTGAGATCAAATGTTATTGAATTTTCTGATGTCCATGGTGAACATGGTTCAGAACATGGTTCAGGCCATGGGGTATTATTTTACTCTTTGTATGTGCAGTCTTGGTTTGGATCCTAATGTATTTCAGTTGAACATGTGTGCCTATCCGGCATGTATACACAACTACAGCTGGCTATAAAAACTGGGAGGGGGGGAGGATCATGTACTGTAGGTAACATATGAAAAAAAATCTGCTTTCTGCAAATGGTTTGATCTGTCTTATATATGACTAAGTTCAATTTGTTCAATTAAAAATGTGCAAACATTTTAAAATAATGTTATGCATTTAATTCATAAAAAGTATACTTTATTGAGTATAAGCTGAGAGTCTATAGACAACACAGCTTTTTGCACAAGAAAGAGTACATCTCATATTGATTTCTTGTGATAAGACTGATGATTAGATTTGACATGATGTAAACATTTATGGCACTTTATGGTTATTTCAAGCTCATTTGGATACTTCCCTCTGACATATGATACTGAAATGCTATTCTGTTGACAGACTAAGCACAGATTGAGTGCTGGCTGCCTGGCTTCTTTTACTGATAAGTCTGAGCGATAATGCCAGATAAAAAGAAGCATTTGATCTTTCCATCTGAGCCACACAGTGTTTCATCAGCATTTAAACGAGGAGATGATATAACCTAATAAGAAAAGTGATATGTCCATGTCAGTGTTTCAAACTCTACTAATTATCTGCAAGAATATTATGTATCTCAGGAAAATATGCATTCAGTGTGCAACTTAGAGTTACCTAGCCTTGCTTTAGCTGCTGGTATGTCTTCAAAGGAAAACTCCAATTTTGTTACAAAATTGGCAAAACCTATATATTTGTGACACAAGTCATTTTGTAATAACATTTTTATAAAAATGACCTTTCCATTTTAAACTGCAGCCATCTTATTTTCTAAAATTGACAAAAACTTCCAATGCTTTGTCTTTGCAATCATGGAAACCATGACAACGCCGAGGTCCTACTGTACAATGTTTGTGTTAAGAACACTCCCAGAAGTGTCCTTCTAACAAAATTGGCTCTTCTCTAAACACTGCGACTGAACATGTCCTTATAGCAGACATACCCTCTGACTAAGCACTTTCTAGGAATAGAAGGTAACTGGAATGTATTTCTCAGTTTCAACAGAACCACAGAACTAAGCACTTTTTAATATATTTGACTGACCTGAAGATAACTTTTTTTAATGAAAGCTTATTTTTTTTTAACTTACAGAGTTTATAGAGTACCTGTGTTAAAAAGAACCCTAAAGTGGCCACTCCGAAGTGGGGTAAAACAGGGCCATTTTCAACTGCTTATATTTGTCCTCCCTGGTTCCTTCCTGTCTTTCTGTTTTCCTTACATACATTATTTTAGACCAAGTAATGTATTCACTGGGTTAATGTGCTTCCTTATGCAATGCAGGCACATCGTTATTTGTGGGAGAGTTGTACATAGCTTTCTGAAAACATCAAACATTAAGTACTACTTTTAAGAGCACTTAGCCCTGATGCAAGTAGTTGGCTCGCTCTTGGGAGGAAAATATCAAAATGCCTTGAAGGGTGGAAGTCATTATGGAGGAGAGGGTTTCCTAGATAGATTGTATTTGGATGCATACTGCTTGTGGTAATGCCCACAGTAATGCTGAGCCCACATTCATTTACAAAAAAAACTAAAATCCATTTTCACTTTGCAGGGGAGTTTTCCCTTAGCTTAGTGAGTGTGGCGAAAATTCACTTTGCAAAACATACGCAATCATGTGCAAGGAAAAAAACCAAAAAAAAACCTGATTGGCTAATGGAAGAAACTCGAGCTTTACATCATTTACTGAGTTAAGGTAACTTTCTAGGTGTCGTATTTCTAAAGCTTATAAGACAATGATGGCTAATATCTTGATAAATATATACTCTGCTCCCGTTTTATATATAAACCTCATTCTATGTACATCTTCAATATAAAATAGTATGTGTGCTTTATACTTCATCTTATTTATTGTGCTGATTTTTACTATATCCTGTTTATGTATTAATATAAAAGGCTCAGGCATTTTACCAGCAACTAATCGTCAAGCTGCTAGCCTATAAAACATTTTGGTAATATTATGCCATCTGACTAATAAATTGTGAACATCTCTCAAACTGGTACAGAACGTACCAAATAAATACTGGGGACTATAACTGTAATCTTTATGCAACATACACATTTAAGATGTGGATTTTTAAGATGTAGGATTTATTTTAAAATGTATGTTTTTTACAGAAATTTTTTTTCCTTAAGTGTATTCTTTGAATAATTTATATTTAAATACTGAAATTCAATACCAAGAGAATACTTAAAAATAAAGGTACAGATATGTGTACATAAAAGAGTAGTTTTAAAAGTTGTTACACAAACATTTTATTTCAATTAAAACTCCTAGTTGCAGATGTAAATCCTACATCTCATTTGTGCATTCAAAAACATTGTAGATAGCTTTACAGTTTGTTTAACTCATTGCTACTGTGCATCAAACCTAAGGTGCCCATACATAAACATTACAATCAATTGTTCCATCTATACTGTTCAAAATTCTGACTAAGTCTAAAAAAAATGATGCTTAATAAGTTCTCTTCATTACAAACATTTTTTTTAATAAGGCAAAACAGCAAGCCAAAAAAGGCTGATCCTCATAATGATTTTTTTTTTATTGTGACTGTTATTATTATTATTATTATTATTATTATTATTAATAACAATAATAATCATCACAATCATCATCACACCTTTTGTATGGCATTTAAATCTAAAGTCAAACAAAGCTATTAATGAAGGTTTTGTTTGGCAGTGTTTCCCTGTATTTTATAGAAAATGTATAGAACTAAAAGAAAAAAAATAGAGAAAAGAACCCCATAATTGAACATAAAAAACTTGACTGATGAAAAACTCAACAGAAAAAGTATGTATGGCTTGCATTAGCGCTAACTAAAAGGTTTTCAAGTCGATATACTGCAGGAGTGATGTATCTCTTTTTTCCACTAGTCTGTGCTGTTGCCTAAGTTTTGAAGTATTGCTTGCTTCTCTGAGTGCCAGATATTTTGGTTTTCTGTATTGCTGATATAAACATTTTTCTATAACATACTGTACAGTATACACTTACTATATTTTAATCAGTTCAAAATTTAAGTCTGATGATACTTAAAATGCTTTCATAGTTTTGTGCAAAAGTACAATTAACTTAAAATGTGTATAACTATTTGTATACTTTCAGCATGTTTTATTTGACATATCCTGGAAACCTTTATTGACACAGGTTACACAATACGACATAGAAAAGAGCATTGATGTGAATAATGTGGCAATTCTCTGCCACCAGATTACTAAAACACTCACTAAAAGAGGAATTCTACTCAATTGGTTTAGTTTACTAGCTTTTACACATTACTCTGATGCTTTTTAATTCAACCCAGTAGGTTATACTGTACATACAGTATGCACACTTTTGCAATTATATTTTACAGTGTACATTTATGCTTTGGTGCACAGGATTATGAGCATAATTATTGCATCCATATAAATATACAAATAAAGAAGGAATATGTTTAAAGCTATATTCATATTTTAGAGAAGAGAAATAGTGAATTCATAAGTATAGTATCAAGCAGAATGCAG